GCGTGTGCGTGTGTGCCCAAGATCCTGAGAGGAGAATGGAGGAGAAGGGATTGCGGCGTGGCCATCCCCCCAGGGGTGGGTGATTTCTCACTTTCCATCTCTCTGTCTGTCTGTCTGTCTGGCGAGCGCACGCGCCCTATAGCAAAAACCTCTCAAAAAAAAAAAATGTAACTTGATAACGCATTAGGGTCGGTTTTCCCAGGCCGTATAAATCAGGTTTGCTTCTTTTCTCTAAACTAATAAGCCACCCCTTGCCCTGATTGTATTTCTCATTTTCCTTGCATATAATTCTGGCTAAAACATCAGTGATTTTTTTTTTTTTTTGAGAGGTTTTCGCTATAGGGGGTGTGCGCTTGCCAGACAGAGAGAGACATAGAGACAGAAAGTGAGAAATCAGCACCCTGGGGGGTGGTCACGCCGCAGTTCCTCAGTCCCTTCTCCTCCATTCTCCTCTCGGGATCTCGGGCACGCACGCACATGCACCCGGCGTGAGTTTTAAGCCACCGGGTCCAGGACGTGAACCGCATTCGACTACATGGGAGTCCAGCGACATAGCCATTATGCTAACTGCTGGTTCCCAGTGATTTTTTTTTTTAAGTCAAATTGTAAAACACCTGGGACCTTCTGCCTTCCAAAAGCATAGCAGTGTTAGAGGAAGAATTCAGATCATGCTCATGTTACAATTTGGTGGATGTGCAGTAATTTAGTTTGTAAGCTCACATATGAGGTGTGTTAGGATGATCTTACCTTCGAAGTGTTAAGTACTTCAGAACCACAAAAATGTAACCCTTAAGGTATGGAATATATTATGAAATCACATTAATCCCTTACATTTCTTTTCCCCCACTGTAAAGAAACGGTAGTTCATTAAGTAAAAGTGAAAGCACGCTCCTGAGAGAGGGGAGCGGGCTGAGTGGACAGAGAAAGGGGGCTCGAAAGGCCTCACCGCTGCGTTCTGCGAGGTTTATCATGTTTGATCTTTGCCATGTCAGTTGGTCATTGGCTGGGCCTGCTCTTTTCATCTTACTGGCTCTATCGATTCTGGCTGGGTATTCCTTACATTTCAAGACCCAACTATCGGGAACCAGCAGTTAGCGTAATGGCTATGTCGCTGGACTCCCACATAGTCGACCGCGGTTCGTGTCCCGGACCCGGTGGCTTAAAAACTCACGCCGGGCGCGTGTGCGTGCGTGCCCAAGATCCCGAGAGGAGAATGGATCGATTCTGGCTGGGTATTCCTTACATTTCAAGACCCAACTATCATGATAATTTCCTCCTACTTTCTGATATAAGAAGATTCTTGTACTTTGATTATACTCTCCTAAAATGAGATTTTTTTTTCCTTGAAAGTTTCAAGTAATGTATTAATAATAGCAGTCTTTATATATATTTATATTTATATATATATATGAGTATTTTTCTCTTGCTTTAAAGCACTACTTTGTCTTTTTCCCATTGGGTGCCTGTTTATCAGTATTGAAGCTTTTATTCCTTGTGTAAAATTTTAGGGAACAGGATGTTGCTTTACATCTGCTCGTGTTATATAGAGAGATGGGACACTGAAGTTCATCTATATAAAAATGTTGGTATTCTAAATACATTTGGGTTCTGAAAAATGTGCTAATGGTTAGTTTTCCTTCTTCTTTTTATAAAGATTTTTACCATAGGGCTTATGCACTCTATAAGAGAGAAATACAAAGAAAGAGAAAGTGAGAAATCATCCCTAAAGGGGGGTGGCCATGGCATAATTCTTTCTCGTCACTTCTCATGGAATTTTGGGCAGAGTCGGCCATGTGGGGTTCAGCACCTTAACCACCACGCCATTTGCTGGCCCCCGTTTCCTCATATTATTATCATCATTATCGGGATTTGATATAGGGCATGTGCGCTCACCAGAAAGAGAGAGAGAAGGAAAATAAGAAATCACTCCCAAGGGGGGACAGCAGTGCCTCAATCCCCTCTCCATTCTCCTCTCGGGATTTTGGGCACACATTCACATGTGCTCGGCTTCCTTTTCCCTATATCATATTTTAAAGAAATCAAGTTTTGGCCAGCAGGCGTGTGGAGGTTAAGGTGGCTGATCCTCCGTATCTGACTCCATCGTTCAAGTCTTAGACTCCGTGCTTTGAGACTGACATTGGGTGTGCACGCCCCGAATCGTGAGGACACGAGGAGACGGGAGTGTGGTATACCATCCACTCAGCGTGATTTCTCATATTTCTTTTTTCTTTCTGTCTCTCTTAAGTTTTTCTGTCTGGCAAGCACATGTGTCCTATAGCAAAAAAAACTAAAAAAACTAAAATTTAATTCTTAAAAATACTAAAATTGTTTCAACTTCTGTTCATTTTAGTTAAAATTCTGCAAACTATAAAGCATACATTGCTGTCGGTCAGAGGTTTCCTTCTATGCCCATAATCATGCTTCCTTCTTATTTTACCTGAGATCATTTTGACTCTCTATTTCAAGCTTCTCCCTTAACAACGTTAACGCTTTTGTTATTTTAGAAGGATTATCAGAACACAGAGGAAATATGTCAGTTAAAGACTTTGGTAAATCATTTGCGAGAGCTGATCACGTTGCATCGGAAATACAACTGCAAATTGGCCCTCTCCGATTTCGAGAAGGTAAAAGTCCAGGCCTGTCAGAATCATTTGATGTATTGTGTACCGTTGTGACAGAACCTGCACTACTGCTGTCTCTCTCCGGCATCCAGGAAAATACAACCACCATAGTGTTCCGAATGTTTGATAAAGTGCTGGCCCCAGAGCTTATTCCCTCTGTCTTGGAGAAGTCTGTCAGAGTTTACATGAGGGAGCATGACTTGCAGGAAGAGGAACTTCTCTTGCTGTACATAGAGGTAACTTCTTTAGGTCTTGTGTGTGTGTGTGTGTTTAGGTTTTTGTCATAGGGCACATGTGCTCACCAGAGACAGAGAGAAGTGAGAAATGACCCCCCTGGGGGGATGGCCATGCCCCGATCCCTTCTTCTCCCAGGATTTTGGATATGCACACACGCACATGTACCCAGCATGATTTTCAGGCTGCCAGGTCCAGGACTCAAACCGCAGTTGGAGATTAAGGTGTGGGAGTCTTACACCTTAACCTCCACCCTACCTGCCGGCCTCCAAGAGTTTAATTTTGAAGGAGCATGATGTCCATCCTCCAGGATTTGCTGAAGAGATGCAGCTCCAAGTCCACGTCGCTCTTCGAGACAGCCTGGGAAGCGAAGGCCATGGCGGTGATAGGGTGCCTGTCTGACACGGACGTAAGTACTTCGCGGCCATCCGGCGGCTTCCCTGAGGCTTTCTCCCTGCTCGTAAATGCAGCGTACGTTTGTCAAGGAGAATTCGTAATACGAAAACGGGAAAAAACGAAAATATAAACCACCCGTAATTCTATTTTCTTTCATTGTGAAGAATAAAAAATGAAATGCTAGCCGGACGCAGTGGCTCTCACCTGTAATCCCAGCTACGCAGGAAGCTAAGGCAGGAGGATTGTGAGTTCAGGGCCAGCCTGGGCAACACAGGAAAACCCTGACTAAAACAAGGAACGGGGCTGGCAGGTGGCGTGGTGGAGGACGCTGGAATCCCACATGGCTGACTGTGGTTGGAGTCCTGGACCTGGCGGCTTGCTTTCTCACTTTCTCTCACTCTCTCTCTCTCTGCCCCTTTCTGGTCAAATTAAAATAAGTAAGTAAATAAATAATTATTTCATTTTTTTTAAAAGTGAACTTTTTCTCGTTCCCACTGCAGAAGAACCTTGATGGGAGCTGGGTACGTGTTTCTCTCCGGTTACACAGATACAGAGTAGTTGGCTTTTGTTTTTGTTTTTCATTGTCGGAGGGCACATGTGCTCACCAGGAAAGGACAGACAGAGGGACAGGGAGGAAGGGTCCCTTTACTGGGGCATGGTCATCCTGCAATCCGCTGTCCTCCCTTTCTCCATCCTGCTGGGATTGTGGACACAGAGCACATATGCCCGACATGTCCCTCAAGCTGCTGGTGCCAAAATTCAAACCACAGTTGGCCAGGTGGGATCTGGCTTTCTTAACCACTAGGTAACCTAAGACAGTTTCTTTTTTTTTTTTTTTTTCAGAATTGTTTAACTTTATTTATTTACTCATAGTTTTTTTAAAGAATTATTTTATTGAACTTTATTTTATTTATTTATTTTATCAGAGAGGGACAGAGAGAGAGAAAATGAAAAAGCAAGCTTCCAGGTCCAGGACTCGAACCATAGCCAGCCATGTGGGAGTCCAGTGCTCTTAACCACCATGCCACCTACTACTGGCCCCTTAACTCATATTTTTAATTTGACCAGAGGGATAGAGCAGAGGAGAGAGAGAGAGAGCAAGCTACTAGGTCCAGGACTCAGACTGCTGCTGGCCATGTGAGAGTCCAGCCGTTAACCACCATGCCAGCTGCCGGCCCCCATAGTTTTAATATGTTGTGATATGCCTTTATTTTGACTTCATTCTCTAACTAGTCATCATAATAAAACATGAATATGGTCATGAAAACTGTTAGACATACAGACTATAGAAAGCAGTAAAGCTGCATGATAGCTATCAGCAGACAAAATGCCTTTCTAAATTTTCTAAATAATGAGATTGCTCTTTACGTGTGGTAAATGGGAGAAGTAGATGCTTTCGCCATCCGTAGGTGAAACATTCCCAACCCAGCAAACGGCCGATTGCTGCTGAGGCAGTGCCGTTGATTGACACGGGACAGCGGCCTGAGGGCTAGCCGCGGCCGCTGCTTGTCTCTGCAGCTCATATTTGACGCCGTGCTCAAGATCATGTATGCAGCGGTGGTTCCTTGGAGTGCGGCCGTGGAGCAGCTGGTGAGGCAGCACCTGGAAATGGACCACCCCAAGTAAGACGGCGGTTCCCTCGAGCAGAGGGCAGACCTCACGCTTCAAGTTGGCCTTTGCTCAGGTTTTTCTGCCTTTTCCCATTTCCCATAGTAGTTCGCCTGCTTAATATCAATGAATTTGCTTTCAGGGTCAAGTTGTTACAGGAAAGTTACAAACTAATGGAGATGAAGAAACTTTTACGAGGCTATGGAATAAGAGAGGTGAATCTCTTAAACAAGGAGATCATGGTAAGTACGAACCCTGTGGGGCCCTTTTCCCCTTTGATGCATTTCTAGGGCCACTCGGGACATCTGATGAGGGTTTTATATTCCACAAAGTTAATAAAGCTTCGTTCTGCACGGCTTTCTCTTTGTGAGAGGTGATTGGGTATTCAGCCGATGAGGGTAGTAAGGACAGCAAATAGCAAATTTAGAAGCTAAAGACAGAAGATAGAACTGTCTTAAGATTCATGTCTAAGTCATGTTTTAATTTTTCATGCAGTTTAATTTTTGCTACATTATTTAAGCTTATGGCTACTTTGCCCTTATGACCGAATGATACAGTCCTCTGAGATTTCAGAACAAAGAAATGTAATAGCATCCTTGTTTCAGAGGGTGATCCGATACATTCTCAAACAAGATGTCCCATCTTCTGTGGAAGATGCATTAAAGGTGGCCCAGGCATTCATGTTGTCTGATGATGAAATCTACAGTCTAAGAATTGTTGACCTGATTGATAGAGACCAGGTATGTATGTTTTGTATCACCGTTTCATATGGCTTCACTGCTGGTTAAATCCTTAGAAACTGAAACCAGTCAGATGACCCACATGGATTTTCGGACAATAAAGCTGTAACAAGATGAAAACAGGATGTTAAATTGGCCACATTTTTTGGCATGTGGTGGGGTTTGAAAGAGTATTTTGTGGAGCTAGCTGGTGGCAGAGTGGTGAAGGCAGCTGGGTGCCGATGGCTGACTATGGATCAAGTCCAGACCTGTGTCTTGTAAATCATTCTGGGTGCATGTGCATATGTATGTGCCCAGAATCCCAGCAGGGAAATGGAAGAGAAGGGACTGGCGTGGCCCTCCCCCCGGAGGGTGGTTTCTCATTTTCTCTCTCGCTCTTTCTGCTACGTGCCCTATAGCAAAACTTAAAGTATTTTGCGAATAGCTAATAGACTCATCATACTCCGATAGTTAGCAGAACTTAGATCTGTGTTTTATTTATCTCATAAGGCCCTTTGATAACAGAATAGTGTATGGGTTATCTTTTTTGTATTAATATTTTTAGTTGTCTTTTATATAATTCTGTAACCATAAGCTAATCTTCAGTACCTAGAGTTGTGTTTAAGTTTTTTTCCCTTTAAGAGAAAGGCAAAGAAATAGGAATAGAATTTTTTTTTTTTAAGATTATTTTATTTATCTTTATTAATTTATTGATTTACTTATTTATTTTAATTTGACCAGAGAGGGACAGAGAGAGAGAGAGAGAAAGCAAGCCGCCAGGTCTGAGATCTGAACCACAGTCAGCCATGTGGGAGTCCAGCGCCCTTAATCACCATGCCACTTGCTGGCCCCAACTTTCCCTATTTTCATCTCACTTTCTATTCTCTTTCATGCTTTAATTCAATATTTATTAAGTATCTTTGCATATATTGTCCTGCTAAACACTTGGGATTTAAAGGTAGACTTTGATGTTCCTGACGTTAAAGAACTCAGATTCTAAATGGACAGAGAGACATGTAGTCAGGATATTGTGATAAAATATGATACAGACTAA